ATAAAGTTGATATTGAAGTGGATGTTGATCGTTGTAATCTCATGGACTTAATCATAGAATTTGAGGATGGGGGGGGGTAGTAATAGTGAATCATATCTTTGCTTATGCATATAGAGGGAAACATTGGACTATTGATGATGATGGTGGTGTACAAAGGATGTTTAGGACATTTTCTAGGGCTAAAATGTATGAGATTTTAGTTGGAACTAACCCTTTAAAATCTAGCTACATGAATGATTTGGTGTCTGAGTTTAGAAGAAACAAAATAGTTGCTGAACTAGGGGACTTGCCACCATCTCCTACATATGAACCAGACTCACCACCCCCTATAATTGACCCAAACTATGTACCTAAAGCTGCAGTGTATGAGATTAATGGTAAGACCACCACATTACTTGCTGAACTAGGTGATGTACCACCCCCTCTTACAAATGAACCCCAATCACCCCCTCTTACAAATGAAACCCAATCACAACCTGCTACAACTCAACCCCCCCTCACCCAATTATAAAGTTCAGTATCAGGTTCATAGTGAGAGAGCCAAGCTGAAGCCTAGGAGGAAACTAAGGTTGAAATACACAGATCAGGCTAGTAATGCTATGCATACTGAAGCTGAGCCTCATAGTACTGTGCAAGATGGTCTTCCTGCTCCCAGTAGTGTGCATACTAAAGCTGAGCCTCATAGTTCTATGCATGATGATTATAGACCTAGTGATGTTCCCAGCCCCACATTAGTTGATATGTTTGGTAATGAGTTCAACTATGATCCAAATATGCTTGGGGTGATATTTTGCAAGACAATGAGGAGGGCAATGGGAAGAAATCTAAGCAGTCTTAGAGGGAATACACTAAGGGTAGGAAAGAGTTTGAGAAGTCTTGTGAAAAGGCTAAGGGGAAAGGGAAAGGGAGCTCTTCTGGGACTGATGCACAGGGGAAAGGGAAAGAGGGTTCTTCTGGGAATGATGCATAGGGGAAAGGGAAAGAGGGTTCTACTGGGGCAGATGCAAAGGGGAAAGGGAAAGAGGGCTCTGCAAAGGCAAAGAGGAAAGGGAAAGATGTAGACATTGACATGGGGAGGGTTATATGCTCTGGTGGTGAGAAGTATCCCCCATCTCCCATATCCCCACACACTATGTTTACAACTTTGCCTGTTAGAAAAAGCCCTAGGTTTTCACCACTCCCAAACACAATTCAACCCAATGTGCTTCTGTCAACTAGTCTATCCTAACCCTAGAGAGTCTGCACCAGTCACTAATCCTAGTCTATTTGGTAGGAAAATACCAAAGAGTACTCAAGTGAGGAAAGGGATTTGGACTAGTTCTAAGGGTAAGGGGATAGTTGATCCAAAAATGCTTGCTCCTACTACTGAAGCTAAGGCCAGAAGGAAGGTTACCTATGCTACTACTGAGGTAGGGGGGATTGAGCCTAGTGATTCTAGTAGTTCTTCTGGGGATGACAGTGAGGATGATGATTTTGTTGACCATGGCTTTGAGGATGAAGATGATTCTGATTTTGATGTGACACCAGAGGGAGAAGTACCAGAAGATGAAAGGGGGGAAATAAGGAATGTACCCCACATAGAAGATAACTGGGAGGCTGGGTTTTGGGCAGCTTTTGTGGATTCAGATGATGATGATGACTATTTCAACAAGTTGTATGGGCAGGGTGAAATGTATGAAGAGGTGAAGTTTGGAAAGACTGTGCTTAGGCCATGGATGACTTTCATAGATAAGACCCATTTGAGAGAGACTTTGAAAAATTATGCAGTGCAAGAAGGGTTTGCATTGAATATAATTGTTGCAGACAACAAAAGGTACACTTTGACATGTTATGCAGAGTGTTGTGAATGGAGACTTCATGCTAGTAGGTTGTTTGATGGAAAAACATGGGCAATAAAGAAGATATGGCCATATGTTCACAACTGTAGGGGTTTGGAGACCTATAATCCAATTTGCACTGTCAAGTGGGCTGCTCCAAAGGTGATGGAAGACATTAGGGCAACTCCAGATATTCCAGGCAAGACTTTAAATGAGCTTCTGTTCCAGAATTTTGGTATCTATATGAAATAAGCATCACTCAATAGGCTCAAGAAGTATGTGATTGAAGATCTATTTGGTGGCCATGATAAGTCTTACTCTCAGTTGCCTATGTATACTGATATGATATGTGGCACTAATCCTAATTCAAAGGCATATGTTGATTGGACATTAAGTGAGAGCATACCTAGGGTGAACTTGTTCACTAGCATTTTCATCAGCTTTGCTGGACAGTGGAAGGGATTCCTTGCAGGGTGTAGACCTTTGATTGGGGTTGATGGTGCCTATTTGAAAGGGAATTATGGGGGTATCTTATTGTCTGCAGTTACAGTAGATGGCAACAATGAAATCTTCCCATTAGCTTATGCAATAGTCAGTAGAGAAGACAAAGAAACCTGGTCATACTTTCTTTGGAATTTGCACAACATTGTAAAGGAATCAAATAGGAAAGACTGGACCATAATTTCTGACAAACAGAAGGTAACCCTTTAATCTATGTCCATGTTATTGCTTTACCATAATTTTGTAAGATTTTAATAAGTTTTTTTTATTGCTGATATAGGGGGTAGATGTTGCTCGGTCTCAAGTGTGGCCTGAAGCAAACAAAAGGTATTGCTGCATGCACTTGAGTAGGAATTACAAAAATCATTCCCAGGTCCTTTGATGTACATTATATTCTGGAGGGCTTGCAATGCCACTAATGTATACACCTTTAGAAAGGCAATGGAAAGTCTACAAAAGGAAGGGGGGAGCTGATGTTATGAAGTGGTTTGCTGATTTAGGGGATCAGTCTAAATGGAGCAAACATAAGTTTGATCCAAATGTGTGCAATGACTCAAACACCTCAAATTTTGTTAAGAGTTTCAACTCGACCCTAGGTGTTGACAGATGCAGGCAGTCTTAACATTGCTTGAAGGTATATGAGTTTAAGTATTTTTATAATTGAACTTACATTGTGGAATAGAAAGCTAACTGTTTGTTCTAATAATTGCAATTGGTCACATGTATTAGAAGAGTATGCATGGTCAGAATTGCATCAAGGCATCAAAGAGCACAAGACTAGAATGATGATGAGTTGTGCCCTAAAATTGCTAAGCTTGTCAGAGATATTAGCAAATCAACAAGCACATGTAAGGCTTATCAATCAAGCCCAGGAGAGTATGAGATACATGAGGGGAAGTCCCAGTTTCCTCTGAGTCTCAACAACAAATTATGCTCATGTAAAGCTTGGTAACTATCTAGTATCCCCTGCAGACATGCAGTTAGAGCTATGCTTCATGCTAAGGTTTATCCTCATAACTATGTTAGCTCATGGTATTCTTGCCATGTTATACACCCCATACCTGATGTCTCTCAATGGCCACCTGCTAATCCTAACCACCCAAGTAACATTGCCCCACCAAATATGAAGAGAGGTGTTGGAAGGCCAAGCAGAAACAGAACAAGGGAAGAGGGTGAAGAACAACCAGAGAAAAGGGCAAGAATTGTGAGATGCAGCAGTTGTGGAAATTTTGGCCACAACAAATTGACTTGCAAAGGGGGTTTAACTGGGAGGGAATTGAAAGCAAGTGAGGCATTGGTTGTGAAAAATCAAGGGTGAGGGATTAATCCAAGGATGCCAAGGAAGCTGCATCTAAGCAGTCTAGAGCTGCTGGAGCTGCAACAGAGATTTCATCATCTCAAATGTCCAGCCAACCTCAAGACTTGTCTCAGTCACAGCCTTGAAGCATGCTACACTAAGCTGTCCTGTTCTGCTACTTTTAGTCATAGTGACAATCTTATTGAAATAATTACTTTTTGGATGGGAATGTTATTGTTTGTATCATTTTGGAACAAGTGTTATTGCACTGTTGTTGCATCTTAGGGCCTGTTCTCATTGACTGAACTCAACTGAACTGAACTGAACTGAACTGAACTGAACTAAGTTGAGCTGAACTAAACTGAACTAAACTGAACTGAACTGAGTTGAACTGAACTGAAATAAATATTTTATAAGAGAAGGAAATTAGGAGCGGAGCTGAACTGAATTGAATTTCAACATAAGAGAACAGACCCTTACTTATTAGCCATCAACTTAAAACTATGATTAAGTTGTTTTTTGGAACAAGTTTTATTCAATTACTTATGATTAAGTTAATTGGCATCAATTACTTATGATTAAGTCTTTTTTTTTTTTTTTTTTTTTTTTTTTTTTTTGCAAAGTAAGCATTTTGTCATGTAATTGTTTCATTCTTGCAATTTGCTGCTATTAACTATGCAAATAATTTGATATAATAATCAAAAATAAAGAAACAACCCCATGTCTTTATTCCAAAATAAGACACCAAGTACATCAGAGTTTAACTATTCCTTTGGTCACAATAACTAAGTTCATCTATTCCAAAGTAACTACAAGCAACACCAAATACAAAACCACATCTAATTTCACCACCATGTACATAAAATCAGCAAAATCGTCAGTCTTGTGCATAAACTCTGCAAATTCAGCCCTTAATGCATGTAAAGAAATTGCATCTTATTGCCTCCCTCCAATGTCCCTTAAAATTTGGTCTTCCCTTACCCACATAAAGAACTTATAATAGGGCCTTCTAGGATTCGATATTGAATTGGAAAACCTAATGTCTGCATATCTTGGTGGCTGACAATTGCAGTTCATGCCTCTGAACCAAGCACCTTCACAACTAATGCTCCTAGAAGATGCATCCCTGCCAGAAGAAGACATTGAAATGTATGAGATTATAAGAGGAATGAAGAGAAGAGAAGAGGGGAATTCTAAAGCATCAGAGAGATTAAATAGGGGAGAGAAGAAAGAGGGAAAAATCGAAAAAAAAGGAGGGAAAATGAGAACTGATTTTTGGAGGGAGTTTTAAGGGTAGGGACATTTGAGTATTTACACTTCCCTAACCCATTAAACCAGCCAAAAACCCCAAGTTAACGTTTATAGTATTTTTATTACTGCTCTATAGTATTTTTTTTTACTTTTCCAAGATTACCAAAAATTCGGACATCCTATTTTAATAAACCATCCTCACATCTCTTCCCCTCCGACGTTTCCGTCCACCATTTTCCAGTTTCTGAACATCTTTGGAGAAAAACAAAGAACCCACTTCCCTTAAAAAAAAAAAAAATTCCATATAAATTTCTCAAGAAATTCTGGGTAATGGCGATTCATCTGCGTCTGAAGGGGACGTTGCTCCTCTTTGTTGTTGGTTTAGCCATCGCTTTTGCGGCCGATGATGCCGTTTCTTCCAAATGCAGCAACAAACCTAGGAAGGTCAGCTCAATTTTTTGTCAATGTATCTCAATTGTGTGTTTTGGATCTCAATTTTGGTTTAAAATTTCAATTTGATCAATTTATTGTTCAATTGGGGTATGGAAATTTCTGATTTCAGTTTGTTTTTTCTTGAAATGGAAATGAAATTATTATTTGTTTGCCTTGAATTTGTGTTTAATCTAGTATGTTTGTAATTGGTTATATTGTTGAGAATTATTAATTATTAGATTCTAAATTGATATTCCAAAGGTGAAGAGGGTTATTTTTAAGCAGATTTGTCTGTATTTTCGTGGCTTAAATAAATTTTCAATGCCGGGTTATCATTGTGGAGGTGTGCTCAGCTCAGTGGTTGAAATTCAGTTTTACGGCGGTCTTTGTCGTTGTAGATATTAGCATACAGTATCCAGGCAGTATTATTTACTCCATAATTCGTTAGTTTAAGATTCGGTTTCACAGTTGGCTACCTAATTTGTTAAATTGGACCAATAATTTCCATGTCACTAGTATGAATTGTATGATTAGCTTTGATTTTCTGATTCCTGGTTCGTTTGAGGTTGGGGCGAATCAGGTAACACTCATCCAGAGTCTTCAAAATTTCTACATAGTTCTGTTTTTTTGGTTCAATTTTGATTGATCTAGTGAATGTGCTTTAATGTTTATGCAATGAGGAGCTACACTTTTCACTTTTCAGCGAATTGAAGTCAATTTAATCAAGATCATATCCTCTTTCATAGCTTAAAATTTAGCTTAACAAAATAGATTTGATTCCTTGTAACTTGTAAAATCTAGCTCGTGAGTACTTAAAAGTTCATCTTGACACAAAATTTTTTGTCAACTTAGCTCAGTTTGGCTCATGCTCCACCTTGAAAAGCTATGACACTATAGTAGACATAGTAGTATATGCTTTTAGTTTTTGTTTAGTACAAGTTTAGGTATTAAGGGGGCGTTAGGTATGGGCAATCAAATCAGGGAAAGAGATGAAAAAATAACGAAAGACAAAAAAAGAAAAAAAAAGAAAAACTATTTTTTTTCCCATAGTTTTAAATTTATCTAAATTTAAAGGAGACATGAGGAAGACTTTTAGGATAGTCTAATTATTATATTTTGCAATAATTCATTAGTTGTTGAAATTTGTTAGAAAATATGTCAAGTAGTTTTCTTGCTATGTTATCAATCAATGTCAAAATTCTAGTGGAAGAAATATTTACAAGAAAGATTTCGTTTATCTTTTAGTTCCAAATTTAATAAAATTTTAGTATTTTTTTAACTTTCCTATTCTATTACTTGATAAATAGCCATGGATTAAATTATTTTCATTATGGCTAAAATTATGGTAAATAAAAGAAATCTAATTAACAATGTAAAAAAAAAATAAATAAAAAAAAAAACAAAAAATACATACATTTAAGTGGATTTTTTTTTTACTCATTAAAACTTTCTTTAACCGCAATTGCATCCCTCCCTTTTTTTTTAAAGTGTTACACACTTACAGTTACCAAATGTCTGTTTTCTTTTTATTTTTTATTTTTTTATTTTTGTCTTTTTATTTATAAATGTTACACTTCCATTTTTGGCAAACTATTCCATAGTATCTCTTTTTTTCTCCCATGGTCCCCACTAAAACCCACTACTATATTTATATAATTTTTTTCCCTCTCACATCTCTTAATTTTCAATTAAATATAAACCCCAATATCTTTTCTTATAATTTTTTAATACCTCAACTACCCTCACTTACATCTTTTATATTAAATCAATTAATTTATCTAAAACTATGTGCCGATCAAAGTGTAACACTTGAAGAAAACGAAGGGAGTATGCTTTAAGATACTTTTACTAGTAGGCTGTTTGCTAGAATTGTACTTTCTCCATCCTTGAACAGTCATGACTCTTATCATGACTCTTAGGAGATAAATTGTTGTTTCATTATCTATTTTTATTTTATTAAAAGTAGTTGTGGTTTGAGATCATGAGTTAGTGGGGTGCTTTTTTAATTGAAGGAACGAGCATATGTGTGCGAGTGTTTGACCCTAAATTGTTAGTAGTGGGATGAGATAGGGATTCAAATGTTGGTGGGGTTGGTACCAAAGTAGATATGAGGAGTTGGGATGAATTGAAAAGGAAAGGGTAAAGGTATATGAGGGAGTCCATAACATGTAATGTTATTGAATCCAGTATGGATTATGTTTGGTCTAATTTTACGTATCTTCTATTGTAGTTTAACATCTCCTTGTCTGAATCATATGCATTGCTCCAATATATATAAGCCTCTAAACTTTTACCAGTGCTTATACAATTTCTGTGCTGCTACCCTTTTTTTATTTTTTTTTATTTTTATTTTAATGTGAGTCTTTATTAATGTATGTGTTTGGTGCATTTATCTCTCCAGGTTAAGGTGAAATACTGGATCAATGGTGTTGAAAAAGGTCTTTTGAAGGCATTAACTGCAGATTTTGGCCCTTACCCTCCTCGTGAGGAAAAAAGTCCTAGGTTACCAGCTGTATTAACAAATCCCGTGAATGGTTGCTCTAATTTAACATCGAAGGTCAGTGCTGCATTAAGTTTAACATAACCTAAGCATATCTTCTTCTGAATATCCTTTTTTTTTTTTTTCTGCATGAGGGGGATGGGTAGAAATGAAGACAAGATTGGTTTTTGTAGAGCTTTCTTCTTTTTTTTTTTTTTATTTTTTTTTTTTTTTATTTTTTTTATTTATTTTTTATTTTTTTATTTTTTTTTTGTATTTTAGCAATGAAGTTCTTTGTACCATCAAATTTGATTGTATGATCCTGCGGGGGGTTTTTTTTTTTCTGTTTCCTTTTTTCTTTTTTTCCTGTTTATCATTTCCCTTTTACAAGTCTACTATCAAGTTCTCTAGACTCATCAATGTTTCTGTGATGTATCCTATACTCAATTGCAAATTTGCAAGTAGTCACATCAGTACATTAATTGATTAAAGATAATTGATGTAATTGTTTTTGATTGGTTCTCTGAATATGACTATACTGGTGGTTGTGTCAGCCCAATTATTAATGGGACTGTGATTTGGTCTAGAAGAAAACCGAAAGATCAGATTGATGAGAAGTCAGAATCTAGGGTAAAAGTAGCTGGAGTTACACTTTGGCTTGTGCAACCAGGAACTGACTGGCTGGTTGAAGTGTTTAGGTGCTTGAATGAATTGCAAAAATGCTCAAAGCTGAAAATGAATGCTGAAACTTATAAGGAGAGTTCGAATCCTTTGTCCCATTCTTATGTCTCATAACTCTCATTTATGTACCACTTGATGTTATTGACCTTTGGTCCACATCATCATATTTATCCCTTTTTATATCAATATGTATACAACTAACAATCTAAATATAGTTTTTATTTTTTATTTTTTTTATTTTTTATCTCTCTTTCTTGTAAACCTACACCGATGACCACCATGAAACCCCTTCATACCCTTCATATTCACATCCTTAAATTCATAATGGAGCACAAAATTAATGTATTCATCAAATTCTCTCTCTTGCAACTGGAGTAATTTCCTTCACATTCAAACTGTCAAACAATATTCCTCTCCATAAATTTCAATTATAGTCAACCATGGTGATGGCTTTGGTTCATGGCCAGCTGTGATTGGTGACCCGAGATGATAGGGGGAGTCTTTGGGTTATTATATTTTTTTTTAAATTTTATGTTATTTTATTTTTTGTATAAGGGTTTATAAGTTGGGTAGCTTTAGCTGTTTAAAGATTTTCCCAGTCGAGATGAATAGAAATTTGATTGGTAGGGGAAGGAAGGAGGAGGTGGGGGTGGGGGGGGGAGGATAGGTCTGAAGTTTTTTTTTTTTTTTTTTTTTTTTTTTTTTTTTTTTTTTTTCCAATTTGAACACAACAATGAAAAGAAATAATAGAATTAACGGTTTTTTCACCAAATGCCCTTTACCTTCCAAAAAATTCACCAAATACCCTCAAGTTTTTCAAAATTCACCGAATACCATTGACGTTTGTTATTATTCACACCGTGACCTCACAATACGGGGAGGATAGGTCTGAAGTTTTTTTTTTTTTTTTTTTTTTTTTTTTTTTTTTTTTTTTTTCCAATTTGAACACAACAATGAAAAGAAATAATAGAATTAACGGTTTTTTCACCAAATGCCCTTTACCTTCCAAAAAATTCACCAAATACCCTCAAGTTTTTCAAAATTCACCGAATACCATTGACGTTTGTTATTATTCACACCGTGACCTCACAATACCCTGATATGTTAGCAATAAAATTTAATTCACCAAACGCCCTAACTTTGTTAAATAATTCGCCAAATGCCCTAACTTTGTTAAATAAAATTTAATTCACCAAATAATGAATGACTAGTTTGAAATTTAGAAAACTAATCGTTAGTTTTGGTTTTCAATTTTTTTTTTTTTTTCACATAAATACTAACCACATAGCAACCCTCTTATTTGCTTAACCACAAATTTTAACACCATGAGTTATATGTCTAAATCCTCTTCCTCAATGAATTAGTGCGTCAGAGTTGCAAACAACCTCTTTTCATAAAAAGAAGTGTTGGAGACTAGGCAAGAAGAGAAAAAAAAAGTGGTCAAATGAAGTAGAGATGATAATTTTGCAGGCTTGGGCGGCGATTCGGGCTTATAGTTCATATATTTTCCAACGGGCTTAATATAGCGAACTCAAGCCCCTTTTATGCGGGTTTGACAATTTGTTCATACTCGCTCTAGTAAACGGTCTAGGCTTGTTCGCGAGCTAACGGACTTAGAGCTTCTAAAAGTACTCATACATTGAGGAAGATGATTTGGACATATAACTCATGATGTTAAAATTCTGGTTAAGCAAATAAGAGGACTGCTATATGTTGAATATTTATGCAAAAAAGGGTTAGAATCAAAATTAATAGCTAGTTTTCTAAATTTCAAACTAGTCGTTGTAACTAGGGGTGAGCAAAAATTCCGGTTACCCGGAATTGGAACCGGAACCGGAACCGGAACCGGAACCGGCGGGTCCGGAAACGGAATTGGACCCGGGTAATAAATTAAGAAGCCGGTGGTTCCAATTCGGGTAATAAATTAAGGACCCGGTTATAACCAATTCCAATTCCAATTCTAAACTTATTGGAACCGAAACCGATTGGGTACCCGGTTACCTAATATATGCTAAAATAAATAAATTTTAAATAATAAAAATATGTTGAATGTATCTAATTTGTAAATTAAAAAAAATATTATTAATACCTAACATAAATACAATAGCTTAATGCATATATATCCTTAAAAAAAAAAAGCTTAATGCATATATAAATATAAGTATTAAACGCTATAAATGAACCTAACTAAAATAAGAATTATAATTTGTATTATATTTTAACAATTACATACATAAGTGGGTACCCGGAACCGGTACCCGGCGGTTCTAATACCAATTCCTAGATTTTAGGACCCGGATGAACCAATTCCAATTTCGGATCCAAATTTTAGGACTCGGTTCCAACCAATTCCAAGTCCGGGTCCTAAAATTATGACCGGGTACCCGGTTTGCTCACCCCTAGTTGTAACAAATTTAGGGCATATGGTGAATTAACGTCAGGGGTATTTTGAGATCATGGTGTGAATAATAACAAATGTCAGTGGTATTTGGTAAAATTTGAAAAACTTGAGGGTATTTGGTGAATTTTGCAAAAGGTCAAGGAAATGGCGCCGAGGATTTCAATCCCTTACAAGAAATGTTCACTCTTAGTGCATGTTAGTGTCTTTTACGCTATGTTTTGATTGAAAAAAATGGAGGGAAAGGAAGAGGAGAGAAATTGAGGGATGCATCCTCCTTTGTTTGGATTTCTAATGTAAGGAGGGAAGGGGAGGGAATTGGAGGGATCCATTTTCCTTCCACTTTTAATAAATTAAATCCGTCCAATAAATCAAATACCTCCATTATTGGAGATATTTGGAAGGAAAATGGAAGGTCTCCTTCTCCCTCCCCCCCTCCCTTTCCCTTCCCTTTTTTTCCTTCCCCTCCCCTTCCCTTCACTATTGTTATAAAAACATAGTGTTAGAGTGTGATAATAATAGAAAGTATATTTTCTTTTCTAGAATTTGTAATTATTAAGAAGAAGATAAACTGTTGATGTTATTTTAGTCACTTTTGTACATGAAGGCTCATCCAATAAAACTATAATCTGGTTGCATGATGGAATTTTTTTTTTTTTTTTTCTGTTAAAAATTTATTGAAGTTTGTGATATCGACAACATTTTTCGACATGATTAGAAAAATAATATGAAGCCATTGAAGAGGAGGAAAAATGCTCTAATCCCTTTGTATAAGAAATTAAGAACAAAGGCAATGTCAAATGCCAACTATCTTAGGATCAAATTGATGAGTTATGTAGTGAAAATTTGGGATTTAATGATTAAACAAAGGTTAAGGAGAAGTGTGAAGATTTTGAAGAACCAATTTGGCTTTATGCGTGCAATGATAGCTATGGAGGCATTGCATCTTATGAGATAACTAATGGAGGACTATTGGGATAAGAAGAAGAATTTACTTATAGTTTTCCATTGATTTGGAAAAGACTGATGATAAGGTTCCGAGGAAGATATTTTGGTTGACTAAAAGGAAAAACTTTTCGCCAAAATATATATTGACATCATTTCGGACAATTAACTTGCGAACCAATCTTGGGAAGATAGAAGACTTCCTTGTTAAAATTGGATTACAAGTCTCAACACTTGGCCCTTTTTTTTTTGGTGTAGTCATGGATGAATTAACGAGTTCAATTCAAGATGATGTGCATGATGTATGTTGACGATATTGTGTGACGAGGAAAAAGAAGATGTGGAAAGTAAGTTGGAGTTGTGAAGACAAAAATTTGGAATTTCTAGGTTTTTTATGCTCATAATTATGATGAGATATGTAGAATTTAAGTTTAGTAGAGTTAGAAAAAAGGAGGCAGGGATGGGAGAATTGTCTAAGGTTCATTTTTTCCAAATATCTGGGATCTATTTAAACACATGTTTATATAAGTGGAAGAGTGCTATGGGGTTTTAATGTGCTATGAGTTAAAGGGAAAAATCTACCACACGACAATTAAGCTTGTATTATTATATGGTACAAAACGTCAATCGTGAATAATTGTCACTTTTATACAATGATTGTGGCGGGTGTTGGATGTCTAACTGTACAAGAAAAGATCGATAGGAATTAAGCCACTTTAGAAGTAGGGGTTAAATCTATTGAGAACAAGATGGGAAGGATCTCCTAAGGTGATTTTGCCATGTAAGACAAAAATCGAGTGAGGCTCCAGAAAGGCAGATTTTAAAGTAATAAAATGCTAATATTGTGAGGGGTGGCGGAAGACCTAAGAGAACTTTGAGGAGGGTGATTTAGAGTGATATGGGGCTATTGGGGATCGAGAAAATTTACCAATAGGTAGACTCACCTTTTGTAAATTACATTGAGGTGACGTTATTATACAACCTTTGTTGAAATTGTTCTATCTTGCCATCAAAAATTAAATCACTAAATGCCTCTATTGTTTGAAAAAAAAACCCGAATTAAGAATTCCTTCACTTTTTAATCATGATAAATCACATTAACCTAATACTACATCCATGTTTTTTGTAACTCCCTTTCTACAAAGTCCTTATACATTATTTCAGTTTTGGCAAGTCCCCTTTACTTATGGCTCTACTACTAGCATTATGCACATTTGTGTAGTTTAAAAGTTAATTTTTTGCTTAAGTAATATAGTAAATATATATTAATCAATAATGCAAATATGAAAAATAGGTCTAATGTTTAGAGTAAATGCATTAAATAAAGCCATTTAAGCTGTATATGCTCACGATATATTATCAAAGTATGGACAATATGTGAACATGGTTAGTGAATGTGAATAAGTTATACTCTCTCCGTTCTTAAAAGCTCGACTCACAAACGGAACTCTTGTTTCTAGAATTGCTTAGAAAAAGTGAGTGTTTAAAAAACAAGTGAATAAAGTGAACAAGATCCCATATATGATCATGTTTTGAGGTATAGAAAAATTGTTAAATGATTCGATTCCATTTGCATCTAAATTTCTCAACATCCCAAATGAGACTCATTAAATTAAAAGAGGAGTAAATAATGACACTCTCTACGACTCTACCCTACCCCTATATACTTACCTAATTGCCATTTGCACATACTTATGTACAAGTGAAAAAGTAAAGGGAAAAAAAAATAGCTAGGTGAGTATGGATTCAACTTAAGAGAAAATAATAGTGAGAGAAAGGGAACTTGTTAGGAAGAAAAAATTGGGATATATGATCCCAATCAACCGATATTTTATCATTGTAAAACCCTCTAACTTTATACCCAAAATAAGGGAAGCAAATATATGGTATATTCAATTAAAACATATTAGTACTTTACTTTTTCAATTGCCAAAAAAAGTGATTATGAATAAGGTTGTACAGTAGGACAACTGTATGTAAGTATCAAAAGGTGAGCTACCTCATTGTAATTTTTTTTTTTTTTGTAAAACCTCATGCCATTAAAGGCCACAAATCACTGAAATGTGTTTTCCATTATGGGATTGGAGAGATTGGGGAACAATTGTTTTTGAATTGCATATGGTGTTTACTTTGGTAGGCATGAGAGTGGTGGACTGTTTGGTGGTTGGTTTGTGCAATAATTATGATGGTTTAATGTTATGACGACTCTTCATTTCGCTTCCTGTACTCTTGTTGGAATTCGGGCATTGATATAGCTATTAATTAGACACTTCATTTTTGACCAAAATCAGACAAAAATTTCAATAAATGGCTATGTCCACAGCCAGACATGTACCTATGTTTGACACTATTAGCCGAGTCTGAGTTACATGAGGATCTAATCTGAAAGACATCAAGAACATATATTGATGAATAAATACGAAGAATTGAACTTGATGGGAATATGTGAAGCAGTTTCCCGTGCTTTATTGTTTGTTCCCTCTTGTGTGTCTTTCTTAAAAATATTATTGTAACTGTATAGTTTATTTGACTGAGACAAAATTTTATCTTCCAGGTGAGTCAATCAGTTGCACTCTCTAATCGGGGGGAATGTGAATACACAATCAAGGCAAAAGTTGCTCAATCTGGTGGTGCTGCAGCTTTGGTGCTAATAAATAACCAAGATGGTTGGATTTCCTTTTCACTTTCTTTCTTTTTTTATTAGCTTGCAGGGTGTCAATCAGTTATTGTCTGTACATTTTAAATCTTTTGTTTTCATACTCTTTCTAGTCAGTGTTTGTCCTAGTTGATTTTTTGCAAATCAAAAGTATCTGTTGCTTGAAATTGAGCTATGCATAGACAGGAAAAAAAAATACAATCATTATGAAGATGAGCAAGTAAAATACACAATGAACGCAAAACAATGTCTTTTTTGTTTGCAATAGTGACTGGAAGAAATCTATCTATGCTACATGTTTCCTTCTTTTTCTACGGCTTATTTTTTCCTAGTTACTGGCTAAACTGTTTCTTCCAAAAGGGTAACAGCATAAGATGTACTTGTAGTGATGTTTGTGAGGACAATTAATATTTTGTTGATTTTTCCTTCAGTCCAATATGTTCAAGGTCATGTTGTTTTATAATTGCTGATGGGTATGGATTGTATTGGGAAGAGGAAGAAAGAGAAGATGAGTTGTCAGGCTTCCTTTATTGAAACAAAGGAGGAAACTCTGGTGTAAAAAAATGTCACGTTAATTAATAAGAAACCCATTACTATGGTTTACACTATGCAAAAAATTTAATTTAACCTAAGGTCTAAAAGCAGAGAAATCTATAATTAAGGAATTGCCATGTATATTGGTACGATTGTTGCGTGTCTGCTAAAATTAACTATCTTCAACATCCTAATCATGTATAGGGAAATCTAAGGTCGATTGCTTAGAGAATTGGATTGGATTCATCTGAACCCTATGATTTAAAAACATGAAGGACTAACAATCAGAATCAATAAGAAGGAAATAATTTAGTAAATTAAGATTCTAAGTAACGAATGGTCGATAATAATATCTGTTGCCGAAACTTAAACTTATTCACTCACTACAGACTGGCCAGACTCTTTTTTCTAGAAAAGTTTAAAAGTGGATGAAGTAAAAAAGAGTGAGTGGGAGGTAGTAAAAGATATTTGCGAAAATGGAATAATGTAATAGTGAATCAAACTTCTGAAACACTGAAAATAAAGAAAGTGAGTTGAGCTTTGGGAACAGAGGGAGTAACTATAGTTACACCTTTCATTCTCACAATTCAATAATTTTTTTCTTTATATATCTACATACCTTACAAAGAGTTAGCCAAGCATACTAAGAATCAAGAATTGAAAAAACAAAATTCTAATTCAAAGAATTATCTAATTTAATAACATGTGAATATCAATGTAATAAAAACAAGCAATCTGTAAATATTATTCAATAACCAATTGGAATATCAATTACATGTGTAGGAATTTTGAGTGTTGTGCTTCTTTCATATCCTTGTTGGATTGGCCGGGGTGTTTAAAAACCTAGTCCGCACTTGACAAATAGAATGGGCTAGAACGAAGAAAACCGATCCGGTCTATTTGCAAAGTCAAAAATTTTTGGTTTCTAGTCTTGTTTTTTTCCAAAATCCTTAAAAGCCGATCTTGGACTGGACACGTACGTTGTTTAAAATTATACATAAAAAATTTATAATGATTAATTTTCTTCTTTAATACCCTCCTCCGCAACACTTCCCGAAAACGGATTTTTTTTTTTCTAATGTAATATTTCCCTAAATGGAAATATACTACACTACTCCCTCCGCCCCATAATTACAGACAAATATACTATTTTGGGTGTCTCAAAATGTTCCTCTTATTACTAAAAATAACACCCAATCATTACTTACTTTTTATCTTTTCCATACAAATTACACAGATATAAAAAAAATCATTACTTACTTTTTCATACAAAATACACACATACCTAAAAAATCATTACCTACTTTTTAACTTTTCCATACAATATTCTCTACTTTTTATCAACATTCTTCACTTTTTAGCTTTTTCATACAATATTCCTCTACTTTTTCCATCCTCCTTAAAAACCGTACTTTTTAGAGTTATTTGCCTGTAATTATGGGACAGAGGGAGTATTTTATTATTTCTCTCATCACATGGTCCCAATTCATACTTTTTTAGGGAATGTTTGGTTCATTGAGCTGTGATGGATTGGTATGGATATCCATACCAGAGTGCTATGGAATCAAAAACCCCATACCAACCTAAAGTTGTTGGAAACTTGGGAATTATGTTGGAATGGTTTCTGTATCCAATATTAATGCTTGTTTAACTTTTAGAATGGATTCTTAGTCTATAATCACTTTGACCTTTTATTTATTTAATAAGTCACATTAAGTTTTATGTAGTTACTTACAAAAAACGTTTATATTTTGTAAAGGAAGCACAAGCAATTAAATTCTGTAACATTACATCTGATCAGTGTTTAGGATTAAATAAGCATGGCATCTTCCACTATGAGAGAACACTCTTTTTCATATGATGAAAAAAATAGGATAAATAGTACTTGGACAGTCAAAAGCCCTTAAAGGAACAAACCCCTTTTACTGTGAAAAAAAGAAACAGGAGTTAGAGGAGAAGAAGATCATGTCCGGCGTGATTTCACATCGAACTCAATTGATGACGACAATTGCATTCTTTATTTAAACTCTATTATGATCAGCCAACAAGAAAATTATTGAAAGTTCATCAAAGACAATTACAAGTTTAAAATAAAATTATCTTGTCAACTAGAATCTAACCATGCCACAGAAGATTGAAGGAAGGAACAACCAGTGACAGATCTCCAGCTTCCGAGACATTCATTTCTTGGGTATGGGTGTCAGGGTGTATACTTGCTGCTTAAGTTTTTCTCTCTCCTCATCTCAAGCTTGAGTTTTATAACTTTTAACCCCCACAAGCCCCCACATACATAAAATTTTAGCAAATTCAACTCGTACCTAAAACTCCACCCGGGTCAACGTGCAATTCAGAAAAACGGAGGCAGTGTGTTGGAAGGTTTATACATTATGAGTCTGAGAAAAGCTGTTAGACTTCTTGATCGCGCTATTTCATATTAGGCTTTCATAAGCGACATCCAATTAGTTTTCTTTTATTTATATCTCCTTGATTCCATGCTATTATAAAAATCTGTACAAAAATATTGCAAACTGGTCTTTGGGTCTCTTTTTAGGTCTTCCAGTGAAAAACTCTTTGACGTAGTATTTCAGATTGCTCCCATTTTATTTCATTTGGAGCATGGCTCAAAAATAGTGCATAGTTCATATTTTTTGTAGATTAATAATTAAAAATATAGCAACTCGTATTTTGGGATGGAAAATGTACTTATTAATGTCATTATACCCATATTTTTCAATATAAATTTTTTATTTTAAAAAAAAATTGTACTATAAATAATATTCCCTCCATCACATTATACCTTGTTCATTCATTTGTTTTATTTTGTCCCAAATACTATTATTATTTCCCTACACTTTCTCAGCAGTCAATTAATCGTATTTCTTTCTCCTTGTTGGGTTAAATTACCCCAATATCCTTATTACTTTCTCTTTTTTCTAAATCCCAAGTGAGTTTCCCACCATCAATGATAATTTCGTAAATTATGGTATTATTGCACTTACCCTCCATCTTTTTCCTTAAGTTTTAGTACTCACTACTTTTATTAAAGTTTCATATTTTACAAATACACTATATTTTTTCTCCAATAAATGTGTGCTGAAGAGAACCGAGTAACCTATTTTGGGATGGAGGGAGTAAGTCTGTGACCTTATCATTTATGCATTGAACAATTTGGTAAAACTCCATGGTAAGAAGATAGTGCTTTGGATATAGACTAATGGGAAAAGGAATTCTAGAAATAAATAAGTGCAACAATTTGAAGTTTACACTATTTAGATACTAACTTCGACGTTGGGGGGGAAAGAAGACATACATGTATAATTTGTATCAGAGCAGTTTAACGATAATACTTATCATCAACTTTAACTCCCCCCCCCCTCTTTCCCGGCCGGAAATTAAAAGAGTAAAAGAATAGTATACTTACAAGTCTGCTCCTTTCTCTCATTATTTCTCCCCTTCCAAGTCTTACTGCCCCAAAATAGAAACAATTAAAAAATAATGATAAAATAAATTTGGGTGGATTATACACGAGAAGAACCTATATTGAAGCCTTTCTATCAATTTCCCTTTTCTAGTTTCCTCTCCCATGCATATACAAGGTTTGAAATTTGCAGATTATTTGTCATCGCCATTTTTTTCCTCCATTTCATATTTAAGTGAATCTAAATGAGCAGTCAGTGAAACCATATACACTTATATTCAATATTGCAAAATAGAATAAATTTGAAGGGTAAAATAACTAACACCTTAAATTTGTATAGTGAAATTATGAAACAAAATATAAAGCTGTATGTCTTTTATATGTTAATATGGAGTATTTTTCTTGCCTTGCAGAACTAGATGAAATGGCTTGTTCCAAGAATGTAACTGATTTGAACATTACTATTCCTGTCGTCATGATTTTAAAATCCAGAGGAGAAATTCTTAGCAAAACTATTGAAGCAAGGAATCAAGGTACTTGTAACCTTTTCATAAATGAATTTTTGGAAGTTTAATAGCAAAATAAGGGTAAATAGTAAAATAGGTGTTAGGGGGGACAAAGAGTTAGCCTTTGCCAAATTCCAGTCGCAGTAAGAATAACTATGGTTAAAGTTGGGTGATAGTCTTCTGCTGCTTAACCTCTTTAACCTGTACTAATGTCCTTTTCCCTTATTTCTTTTTGGGGATTTATTTCCAGTGGAGCTGCAAATAGACTTGCTAAAACGTCCAGTTATTGATCTCCCTAGGACCTTATTATGGGTTATAGCTGTTGCAACACTTACAATTGCTTGCATCTGGCCGGATCTATGTGTACAGGAAGAGACTGATGAAAGCTATGATGAACTGTCACGAAAGGTTTACTACTTAAATCTCATTTAAATTTGAACTACTGTGCTTGTCCTGTCTGGAAGTATATTTTTTCGTGTGTAGATTTACCTACTTCTCAAATTATATGTTCTATGATGACAAAGTAGTCTATATAATGTTTGGGTATAAGCTCTTTTTTGTTCTTGGAATTTTATGAAAGGCAGGAAAAAAAAAAAAAAAATTTTGATTTTAAATTATCTTTTCCCTCTATTACAATACAAACGTAATTCTTACTTCAGTCTAGTAGGGTTATCCTCTGTTCATTTCTTCTATGTTGCTTCTTTTTCTTTTGTTTGTCAATTTCAATAAGCCTATGGTGTAAATTTGGTATATACTTATAGAAAATAAACAAAATCTAAAGTTAAGGTTCTCTGTTATATGTTGATGATAACAGATGGTTGATTTCAAAATGCTTTTCATGGGTTTTAATACAAATAACTACTCCCTCTGTCATTTTTTGTTCTGCTCACTTTCCAATTTAAGCCGTCTTACCCATTCAGCCTTCGGTATTTACACAATTCATACTCTCTCACTTTATTCACCTTACCCCTTTTTACTATTTTACCCCTTCAGCCTTCGCTATTTACACAATTCATACTCTCTCACTTTATTCACCTTTTTTCTTACACAAACCCACCTTTTTACATTCTCTCTCTTATTTTATCTTACACCTACTCACTTTCTTCAACAATTTTTTGAATTGCACATCTATAGTAAGTGAGTAGAACATAAAAGAACGGGTATTATTTACCCCATAACAAATGTTAAATATCATTGAAAATCTCGTATTATTTGTTTGAATGATAAATCTCTTGTTTTACAAATGTTAACTTTTTTGTTGGGAAAACAATTCATATTTTTGTACAACTTGGTTAGTTATACTAGTGTTTTAGGGTTAAACTTTTTCATAATTTTATTTCATTCTTAAATTTATATTATATATGTTTGTGTGGTTTGTTGTAATGTACTATGGCCAATGTGTTGGTTGATGACATGTAGCAAAATGATTGCGACATTGTGTTTTAGCCTTTTGAAGGCTTTTGCCTTAAGATAAGTTAGAGTCTCTAAAATAAGTTGTTACACTGTAAAGGAATTTAGGATTAGATAGAAAATTGCTTCTGGGGTGGGCTTTCTTTTTTAATAGTTAATGAGCAGCCCAGAGGAGCTGGGTTGGATATGTGAGGTATGCTTGGGTGCTAGGGTGTCTTCTTGTTGTGGATAAGATTGCTAGTAGCCTAGTAGCATACACTCCGTACAGGGCCTTAAAGTAGGAAGGGATTTCATTTGTGTTACTAATATGTCGTTTACACAAGCAACATTATCGGTTTCCTAACTTTTAGAGTTCGATCATGTCCTCACTTCTTCAGGCATTTTGCTTGGTTTCAGTCTTTAAACTTGGGAAAGTATTCCACACCTTTTTTATCTTGCTTCATTTTAATATCAACCACTTGGATGTCTACAGTTAACTTACCTTGGTGTCTCATATAGTCATAAGGTGGGAACCTTACGATAATTTCATACAGATGGAAGATAGCACATTTTTCTTTGAGTTGAAGAATTATTCTTATGATGCTAGTAGTTTACAATTTGGAAATACAAGGGAACTAAGCTGTTATGGTAGGTGTTTTGCTGCTGTCTCTTGGGTATTGTGATCTATAAGAAATAATTGAAATTTTCAAGAGCTGAACATCTAGTTAGGTAGCTTCAGGATAGAGAGGAGTATCAATTAGCTACCTTGCCCTTTCTTCTAACTAACGTATTTCTTTATTTCTTCCCCTCCCCCCTTTTGTCATTACTAAGAAATAAGGTTTGGGCTGAATGGGGAGTTCCTGTAGTTGAAGGGCTTCACTCATTGTCATGCTTTATTTTAAGTCAGTGATCTTAGGATGACCAGCTATAAGCAAGATAAGTAAAACCTTGTAGTGCTCCAAGAGTTTAAATCTTGGTCGCTTTCGGATTTGAAGTTTTACCTATGACTTTGTGTTCCAGTGTAAATTATGCTCTAAAGTTGGTTTTGTATCTTTAAGGTATATAAATATTACATATTTAAAAATACTTGGAGTCCAAATTTTAAAAGATTTAAAGAAGATTGGGAGGGCAAAATTCTAGACCTTTATCTAAGGTGACATATAATTTAGAAAATTAACTTGGAGTCTTCTAACTGTTAATCCTCTTATAAATTGATATCTTGGAATGAATAGTCTATATTCATCAATTAAATTCCTTTATAATCTTACAGGAATCTTCTGCAGCCAAGGATGATTCTGAGCTGGATACACTTGACATAAATGTGATGGGTGCTGTGGTTTTTCTCATCGTGGCTTCAGCGTTCCTGCTGCTATTATATTTTTTTATGTCATCATGGTTTGTCATTGTGCTGATTATTATGTTCCTCATCGGAGGTTCTGAGGTAATATCTGGTTTCTGACAATTCTTATCTGCTATTGGCTGCTAGAATTTTTCTTTGGCTAGTGTTGGAATCTAGAATACTACTTGAGTTGAGAATTTCTTCCCTCCAACCTCAGGTCAATACATGATGAATATATTGTTTAACTCTAAAGATATATGTAATATGTAAATAGCAGAACTTGTGTGCACATGTATCTGCACTTGGCTTTCCTCTTGCATGCCAAATGTCTTGTTCTTAGCAAACTATGAACAAAGTTATCACAAAGTATAAATTACAGAGATCAAAATTAATACTTACGCATAAATTACATGTATAATTTAAAATTATAAATTATGGAAATGGAAATTTTTTGGATGCTATAATTTTAAATGCTTCTGCTGTTCATAAATTGTCTTATGGTTAGGGTCAGGTGCACGTATGAACAGTTTTAATAAGGGAGTGTAAGCTTTCATCTGGATTATTAAAGCTAATTTTATGAAATTATGTGTTAAATTTATGAAAGTTAAATAACTCAACTTTCTCCCATGAACGATTTGCGTCAAGGGATTAGTTCAATCCAAAACTTGAGATAATGATATTCTTGTTAATCATTGCAAACTTACTTGTATTGAGGGTGATTTTTCCAATAAATGTCAAATATACTTCCTTTGTTTTTTAAAGCTCTTTTTATGCCACATTATGGATTCTCTCACCTAATTTTTTTTACCAAACTTCAACTATTTTTTTTTTTTTTCACGTAAATTATTTTTATTGTTTTTTTTGCTGGACTTAAATTTACTAAATTTAAGTAATTTTATTATTTAAAACGTGTTTTTATTGATTTGCTATTATATTGTTCTTTGAAGTTATTGCATTTTACCGATTTACATTTATTTTTACTTCACTTAAATTATTTTCATTGAAAATTACTTTTAAAGGTGAAAAAAATGAACCGAATAGGGGCTTACTTTCCTTAAAATTATTTTAATATAATTTAGTTTTTTTCTCCTCGCTTTCTTCCTTACCCTACCAGTTGGAGCCTATGTGATCCAACAACAATGCCCATGTTTCTTGTTGATGGAGTACAAGTTCTACAATACATGTATATAGTAAAATTTTATAAGGATATAACTTTTTGAAGTTTAGTTCACTTGTTTTGGACTTTGCATCAAAGTTGTTTTTTAATCTTTATTTTTAATTCACAAATTTGTCAAAGGTTATTCGCAATTTGTATAGAAGAGCCCGTTGTACCTTGCTAGACCCATTTACCATCTAAAGATCCGGCCTTTTTACCACTATCTCTTGTTCCCTTTCATTTTGTTACCACTGAAAAATACAAATGTTTTAAATTTATTACTTCCTCCTTATTTTTTTTTTGGAAAAATTGACAGGATTATTATGGCATTTGAGACCTTTGATAGTCCCCCAATAAAGCGACCTTTGTACATGATCTTACATAAATGGGGCAAAATTGATTGGTAACCTGTTTAATGAGTTAGTATTAGGGGTGAGAAAGACTGGGTACCTGGTCAAAAACAATGGAACTGGTTAGAACTGGGTCCGAGATTTTGGAACTGGTCTTAACTTGGTCTGATAATTATGGAATTGGTCCAGTTCCAAAACCGGGTACCTGGTTTCTCAACAACTTTGCAATATTCAACAACTAAATTGGCTAAAATTCCTTGTAAGATTTCACTGTCATATAAAAAATTAGCAAGCAATTACAAGTTAAATAAGTAATCAAGAATCCACAAAGTGTATACTTTCCCCTCCATATCTAATTGTGCTCGGGAAAAAAAAAAATCACTAGTCACAATTTCATATTATCAAAATTGAAATATAAAGAAAAAGATACAATGATGAAAATTGAAAAAGTAATAAGATTAAGAGGGAGAAAGTATAGTTTTAGAGTAGTGGAGTATTGAAGAAAGAGGAAGGAAGGAAGAGGACTAGAGGATGGCGTGAGAATTGAAAATGAGGGAAACCAAGAGGTTGAGTGTGTGAGAATGGAACATCTGATAGAGATTGAGAGTTTTTTAGGGTAGTTTATGGGATAGGGCCTTATATTACACGGGCTATATATATATATATATATATATAACCCAATCCTAATACATGCACCTGATTTAATCGTGTAACGGGTCCAAAAATGCAGGACTTGGAACTGGAACTAGTTCTAACCGGGTCCATATTTTTTGAATTGGATTTGGATCTAGTTGAACTAGTTTCTGGTCCAGACCCATCGGGTCCAAACCAGTTCCAGTTTTGGAATCAGGTATCCGGAATTTTTGCTCACCTAGTATGACACGTGTCACTTTGTAATTGGTTAATTTTTTTTTTTACAATTTTCTTATTTTAAAAATTGATTTTAATTTAAAAAAAAAAAAAACCCCAGCCCCCCACCTATCCCCACACTGTCACGACCTCGCCCAACTAGTAGAGAAAGGGTGTGGCCTGGTGGTCGGGTTTAGGCCGAGAAGAAGAGAGAAATGTGGGCAAGTCTAGCTGTGAAGGAGAGAGAGATGGGTGGATTTTGGGCTGAAAAGGAGAGAGAGGTCGCGGGTTTGGGTTGAGATGGTCGTGGCAGCCAGAGTTGGAAGGGGAAGGAGGTGGGGCTGCTGGATTTGGGAGAGTAAGGAGGTGGGGTGGTCGAATTTGGGAAAGGAAGGAGGTGGGGTGGTCGAATTTGGGAAAGGAAGGTGGTGGGGCTGTCAAATTTTGGAGGGGAAGGTGGTGGCCCTGTCGAATTTAGGAGGGGAAGGGGGTGCGGTGGTCGGATTTTGGAGGGGAAAAGGATGCGGCGGTTGAAGTTTGGAGGGGAAGCTAAGGGGGTGCGGTGGTCGGATTTGGGAGGGGAACGTGGTGGGGCTGCCGGATTTTGGAGGGGAAGGGGCACCGATGGTCGGATTTTGGAGGGGAAGGGGATGCGGCGGTCGAAGTTTGGAGGGGAAGCTAAGGGGATGCGGCGGTCGAAGTTTGGAGGGGAAGCTAAGGGGGTGCGGTGGTCGGATTTGGGAGGGGAACGTGGTGGGGCTATTGAATTTGAGAGGGGAAGAGGGTGCAGTGGTCAGAATTTGGAGGGGAAGGGGGTGAGCTGCCGAAATTAGGGGGTGGGAGGGTGGTGGTAGGTTGTGCAAAAGGGAGGAGGGAAGGTGGTTGGAGGGGAAGAAGTTTTTTTTTAATTAATTTTTTTTATAAAAAAAAGAAATATGTTAAAATTGAAATAAATAATCTAACCAATCATAATGTGACACATGCCCTTTAACCTATTAAATAGGTTACAAGCTTTTTATCCTATTTTTGGAAGATTATGTGAAAAGGTCATTTTATTAAGGTGTTATCCAAAGGTGGTTTTATTTATGGCACATGGGGTAAAGGTCATAATATTCCTGTCAATTTTTCCTTTATTTTTTTTTAATTTTTTTAAATTTTTTTGTAAGTGAGACGTTTTGTCCTTTTGCATTATTCACCTAATCCGCTTTGACTAATATGATTTATACATATGAAAATAAATAGTCTTGTGAGTACTTGTTCAAATCGTCTCAATGAATAGATAATCAATATTTAATTATTATAATTTTTACTTATTTATAATTAAAGGCATTATTAATCAAAGTTTGACATAAGCATACGTGAACAAAAGAAACTTTTCACCTATTACATAGGGAGTGTAGCGTTAGATTTTTCTCTTGTTCTTCATTATAGCGCGCATTTTTCTGTCATTCGAGTAGGATTCTAGGAAACAGTGTGTTTGGGACTGTTTACAAAACTTATATCTTGCCTTCAGAAATTATTGCAGAAGTAAAGAGATCAAAGCATACCCATGATTATTGCTCGTTTAATAAAAATAAGCAAATTATAAACTATATGAAAGTTGACTTTCATGTAGTTTGCTCATTCTAATGAAATGGGCAATTTGACTTACCTAAATTTTGCTCATTTTGATAAAATGAGGAATTTTTTTTTTATAGTGAGTTTCTTTCATATATTTTGCTCGTATAAATGAGCAAATTTTAAAAAATGTCAGCTTATACTGACTTCCATTAATCATGCTCATTTCCTTAAGTGAGCAATTTTTTGAAAATCAGTGTAAACTCACATCCATAAAATTTGCTCATTTTATAGGAATGAGCAAATTTTTATAAAGTCGGTTTATATTGACATCCATAAAATTTGCTCATTTCATTAAAATGAGCGAATTTTTGAAAGTCGGTTTATTCTGACTTCCACAAATTTTGCTCATTACTTCAAATGAGCAAATTTAGTTAAACAGTTCATTGTAAGTTGTAAAACAATTACAATGTCAAGAGCAACATACATCAAAATTGATGAATCAACCGGATTGCTTCCTTCATTATTCATTGAAGATGATGACAAATTTGATTATGCAAATAATTGTGATGCTTTGAGGTTTTTAGGATGGATTCTCTACATTTTCGCATTTGTTAGATGTTTAAGGATTTTAGGAACAATTCCGGGGAATGATTTGCAGGAGGAATGAGTAGTTGGGTTTTGTGATGTTAGATTATTAATTGAGGTTGGTGCTAATTGAGGTGTTTTTACTGATTTAAGTCCATTTAACCCTATTTTCCACTAATATTATTAATTGAGGTTGGTGCTAATTGAGGTGTGTTACTGATTTAAGTCCATTTAGCCCTATTTTCCACTAATTTATGAAAATGCCACTGGGTGCTATGGTTCATGCTTTGGAGGTTATTATAGTTTGGGAACTATGCAATATATGGATATATACTCACTCTCTCTCTCTCTCTCTCTCTCTCTCTCTCTCTCTCTCTCTCTCTCTCTCTCTCTCTCTCTCTCTCTCTTTCTCTCTCTCTCTCTCCATTTTACACAGACTCACCTTCTTCTATATTTTCTTAAATTACGTATCTACAAAGTAGAACATAATTCTGCCAAAAAAAGTAGAACATAAAAGAACATATAGTGACAAATTTACAATTACTCACTTTATTAATGAGTAATTAGTATTCAGTTTATGCTTTAGCATAAGGGCATAGTGTGTTTAAAGCCCATGTTACTGTATAATCATTTGTATGACAAGTTTCAAAGCATTTCTCTATTTCTATAGGTGCGTCTATGCTCTGTATGCATAACATTGTCTTGTCAGCTTTGTACTCTGTGAATTTTACCATTAGAAAGAGAAAACTAGCTAGGTTACCTTCATAGGATTGCATTTTCTTACATTTTTTATGTTGAAGCTTACAAGAGTTAGGATGGTTATTAGTGTTGACTGTGGAGATTGAAATTCACATTTACATTCTGTATGTTGAAGCTTACATGAGTTAGGATACTTATTAGTTTGGAGATTGAAAATCACAATTCAAAATGGAGGCTAAATTTGATTAATATAATTTGTCTTCTGTGCCCAGAAAAGCTTTTTTTTTAATGAGTTAAAATCCGGGATTTCTAGTTTGTACCTTCCATATTTATTTATGTTTGCTTTGGTTTGTGGCTTCTCTTATAGGGTTAATTGCTTAAATTTCACTATCACAATTCTGTATTCTGTCTACAGGGAATGTATTATTGCTTCACAAGTCTTTTGCTAAGGTAGGTCTTACATATCCTTTTCTTTGTGGACATTACACAAACTTCATGTACAAGTTCTGTAAATTTTTTAAAAATAACATATTGATTTATTCTGAATGCTTGTTTCTGTTTGATGTTGCTAAGCAGACGATGTGGAAATGCTAGACAAATACATATTAAATTACCTCTGGTTGGGGAATTTTATATTATTCGTTGTTTGTTCTGGTTGGCTTGTTTTGGCTTTGGAATTTTTTGGGTGGTGACTCGACACAGATCATACTCGTGGATTGGTCAAGATATTCTTGTAAGCCCATAACTGTTTTTGTATCAATTTCATATTGATAGTCTTGTGTATGTGACTTCAATGCTTTGTGAGTTCTGGAAGTCCAATTTTACAGAATTTAATGCATGCATAAATTGTGAATTGTGAATAACCTTCATTTAATAATATGCCTGTAATGTATATGTTTAATTACAATTTGTCATTTAGTATGTAGAGCATATCTTTGGAAACATGGCTACATGTCAGATAAATGCTAGGTATTGGGTTTAATTTGACTTATGTTTTTCATCCACATTTGAGGAGAAGTGTTCTTGGCTTATCAAAAACCAAAGTCCAGCTTTTCTGCCCACATCAAAACTAATCTAACCCATTTACAATTATGTTTGCTGTGCACTAAACAAAGGAACCAGAAGCTCTTTTTCTCCTATTTGATGTATAAGCTCTTTTTTCTAATTATTTAAATTTTGTCGGAAGAGAGCATAGCTTTCCATTTATGCTATTTGCACGATGTACACACTTATTGATGGTGCTAGGTGCTAAAATAATTACGGAGTAGATTTTATTTTATTTTTATGAAATCATATCTACTTTTCATGCATAATCTATAGGATTGAGGTAAAGTATATTAAATCCTGATCCATTTCTGATTTGATTTGTTGGATACCCAATCTGATTTCATATAATTCAATTATGATTCGTAATGGTTATAAAAAAAATCAAGTTATTGTGGAAACTTTCAAACTTGTTAAAATTCCCCCACTTACCTTCTAAATGAAATCCAACATTAATTCCACATTTCCTAGCCTCTTCCTCATTTTAGTCTATGATCTTCCTCTCCTCATCCACCTATAACTGTCACCCATTTTTCTCCCTTTTTTATTTATTTTTAGTTGAGCTTTCTTATTTTTCCAAGACTCCCTAGCCAATTGGAGCCTCATCTTGGACATGAAGTAAATATTTTACTAATTTATACGAGGGATATAATAGTTAACTTTTATTTTATATTAGTTAGGAATTATGTGTTTTGGTAATGATTTAAATTATATTGTAGACATGGAATGGCTAAAAATAATGTTGGTGAGAATGTTCGATTAAAAAATTGAAAAATAAATAGCAAAGAAAGCTTGAAAAATCATACATTTCTAAAAATTAACCAAAAGTAAATCAAATAAAAAAACAGTTCTTAACCCGTTGGGTTGACCTGAACTTTGGGTTAGGGTTTAGCATTTCTTGACCCATGACCCATGACCCATGACCCTAGACTTGACCGAACCGACTGACAGGTTTAACTGTATATATTACACGCACACTCTCACTCTGTGAGAATCCAATCGTTTGTTTGACTGACGAACTACGTGGGAAAGTCTCTCTCTCTCTCTCTCTCTCTCTTCTTAGCATATGTTCAACTATCACCCTTATGTATCTTTGGATCCATTCAATTAAGTGTAGTAATAGATTATTTAGATTAGTTGCATTTCTTTTGGCCTGAAATTAGATTTTTGTATTGAGATTTACTACTTAATCATTGATTAATCAACATGGTAGTTATTGCAACTTCTGGATCACAATACTAGATTACTAGTTCTTTATTCATTAGTTGCATTGGATATTGAATATGTGGTGATTTTCAATCTGAATTTTTTTGGATATTTGATATCTTAAGTTTTAGGATTGGATTCAGGTATCAATGAATATAATTATTGGATATCCGAATTATGTTATGCCTAAAGTGGCCTTCTTCACTTTGACCGTGTGATCTGTTTAATTCCTTATGGAGGATTATAGTTGCCCACAAAATGCTGAGATATCACTGTAGCCTGGGAAATCTCTGTTTGCTTTGTTTTGCTGCTTTCTTTTTTGACAAAATTAAATTATCTTAAGGAATCAATATTGGAAATTTTTCACCTAGTTGATACTTTTTGAACTGTTCGGATCGTTCTTAAAAATTATATGTTGAAATAAATTGTAGCGATTTTATCAATTTAACTTACATCAATGTAATTTATTTTGTCAGGGAGTTTGTTTTATGATCAGAGTTCTGCAGATGATTCGGTTGCCCAATATAAAGGTGGTGCAAATAATTCTCTCTATTACATTTTATCTACGTATGGAAGCATACTAGCCTGACCAAATTTCTATCCACAGGTTGCAACAGCGCTATTGTGTTGTGCTTTCTTATATGATATCTTTTGGGTCTTCATTTCAAAAAGTATATTCCAGCAAAGCGTCATGGTTGTGGTGAGATTTTTTGTTACTTGCTTAGGGCTTCTGGGCTATATTTTTTTTTTGCTTGATCATGCGTCTGACTTCTCTTGATCAATGGTATCTTGTACTGCCTATCATACTTGGTTTGTTTCTAGTGTCCAAAACTAATCTTTGATAGTTTCATCCTATATATATAGAAAAGAGAAATATAGAATCCTGTCATGATAATCATCTCAATTTGTTTGACTCGTAAATTAGTCTCTTGATTGTTGTAGATTGGAGTAACCCCTAATATATAAGTCTCTCTTCTAACATCGTTGCATCTTGCATGGTATTTAGTTATATTCAATACATGGTATGGGAAGGGAATCATGAGACATTTTACACTTTGAATTTGGTACTCTTGGTTAGTATTTGTATGTAAGCTCTCTATTGAGCAGAAAAAAAAATAGTTAGAGATAGGCGCCTAACACCTAGCCCACAAAATAACAATGACTATTGAAGATGATGAGGTTTCCAGAAGGGAGAAAAAAATTCACTGGTTTCTAGGTTCCATTGGAGGAAAGAGCTAAGCCTCATTTGGCCTGAAAGATAATTGTTGAAGAGCAATATTATTGTCTTATGGTTGCTGGCAAGGCCAATGGAAGTTGTATCTACTTTGGACAGCTTAATGGATTATGACCTTATGATTAGGAGTCTTGATATGTGTAACTTAAGTTTGGTAATTTTAGATTCATGAAAAGAATTTAATTTTTGTTAGTTACTTTTAGAGGGTATTTAGCCTTGATTATTACAATTACAAATAGGAATGCAGTGTTTTGGTATCAAGACATTAGATTGTTATATCATATGTTTTGCTTATCAGTAAATAAAGAATGACGCAGTTATATCATGTCATTCTGGAAGGCTTTTCTTCAGTTTTAATTTTAATTTCATCATATATAACAGTCTTAAGTATTATCTGGGATTGATCATGATACACTGATGTTTTAGTCATTTTTCCGGGCTATTACAGATCTTTTTTCCACAATACATGCACTGACCTCAAACAGAAAATTCAAGCCTTCATTACCCATGTGAAGAAGGCTTTATTATTTCTTACTATCTAAAGTGCCCTAATAGCCTCCCCTCCTCTCTCTCACACACAGAAAATGGAACCAAAAAGTATTGGCTTGTACAAACTGTTTTCTTTTTATGAGTAACGGAAACAAATGTCTCTATTCATCTTCCACTAGTTAGAGGTAAGCTAGTAAGGTCATGTTCATGTTAATCAAGGCTTATATTTACAATTTCAACCCCCAAATCGTACCTTATTTCACTTCTAAAAGGAAGTTCTAGCTTGCAAGTTTGTGGTAGCTCACCTTCTCGGACTTGTTTTCTTGTTTAGGTCTGGAAATATGTAAACTCTTAATTGCTGGTTAATATTATACATTGCTCATAACCTCATTTAGCTATCACGGTATCACCCCTGGCCTATTACATAATCTTCAAAAGAGTTACAATGGTAGATACACCTACGAATTAAAATAATAAGAAGAGAGTGTTTTTGACTTCATTTCATACCTCAATCCTTCTAATAGTTATATGTATTTTAAATATATTTATTATTGTTGATTCAAATTTTAAGATTTTGTTATATTACTAATTTCATGCAATCACTCATTTACATCAACTTTTTTCTACTATAAATTATGAAATATAATAACCTGTGCAATTGCTGGCTCTTACTGATTAAAACTAAATAACACTTCAAACGATTGATTTTCCTGAAAAAAACTTTTGTATGTTGATTTGTTGAATCTTATTTTTTTTCAAGGTGAATTGAACGAGTGCATTGGTTGACATCCCTTCTCTTGTACTTTAAATATCAACATGCCGGAATTTAAGACACCTTTAATAATATTAGCTCCTTAAATAATATATAGCTCCTTATAAAATTCAAGCTACTGAACAACTTGTTAATTATGCACCTTATAAATTTCAACTGTTACCTTTTCAATAAACTTTGTCTTTGTTCTACTTCAGTTAGTGTTGTCAAACATAGTCTTAGTGTATATGCCATCAGCTACGGTCCACACCATTTGATCACTGCCACCGCATAGCATTTCTATCCTTATATGACCACTTCCCTTTGCCTTTTAAACTTACCACATTTTGTTTACTCTACACTAATTTGTACTCTGAACAATTCACTGGGAAGAGTAAAGATGATACAAGCCTCATTGGAGTTAGATGTGTACTTCGTATAATTTAATTGAAAAAAGTTGCACATCTATCCTTCTCAATTTCTCGTTATCAGAAATTTCTCATTGGATCTCTTTCTTATGTCAAGTAAGAGAATACCTCCCTTTGAGTAAAAATTACTTGTGTGTTCTGAACTCTTGATATTTAAGATCTGACAGTCCAATTTTTACAACTTGTGGTATAAATTGCTCACATGGTTTAACTCTATTTGTCCCTCCCATTCTCTCTTCAAATTAAGTATTCAAGATTTATGTGGCAGCCAAACTGCCAAAGGGATGTATGCTGAATTTAGAGGCTGGAGATCCCAACAGACAACCAACTTCTCTCTTTCTCTCTCTCAATTTTCTACTGCTGGAAATTATATTGGTGGATGGATTTATGTCATTATGTGTTACCATGTCTGCTTTTTCTTTTTGCACACACATTCAAAAAGAAATTAATGAGAAAATATAAGTTTATCTCCTTGATAAACAAAATATGTTGATTAAATGGCAAAAGTGTAAATAAATCAACAATTTTTGGTCATATATGGGTCCCACTGTTTTTTATTTATTTACCAAAATGTCATGACAACTTTTTGGTCATATATGGGTCGTACCGTTTTTGATTTATTTACCAAAATGCGATGATTACTAGACAAACTTGTTGATTTATTACAAATTTGCTATTTGATAAACAAATTAGGTGATAAACTGGGGCTTTCTCGAAATTAATGTCCGTAATTTTGCTACTGAATATGAAAGATGTTTTGTACTGAACGTGTGCATGTATCTCAAATTACTATCATGCACTTCCATTCTCATATACGGTGGTACTCTCACAGCAACCCAACCATGACGGCTCCCTTGTGTGCATTTTCAATTTGTCTCCAGGTTGCCAGTGGTCAAAATAGCGGTGGAGAAAATCTACCTATGCTTTTGAGAATCCCTCGCTTTGATGATCCATTTAGTGGGTATAATTTGCTTGGCTTTGGGGACATTCTTGTTCCTGGTTTACTTGTCTCATTTTGCTACAGGTATTATTAATTACATTATTTTATCAGGTTGACTAACTTTCATGTACTCTTTCGCTCATCTCTCAGTGTTTTATACTCAATATCGTTCTGTAGTTTAGGTGTCGTATATTTTACATCTGAAAATAGAAATATTTCAAAACTTAAAAGGGTAAAGGTTTTTTCTGCATAAAGTTAAACGTACCAATGTACCATAGCTGTACAAGTTTTTGAATCCTGTGGGATTATTGAAATATTATTCTTTATGTTCAAAAATTGCTATTGATAGAAGGGATTGCATTAGGATGAGCAATTTCTACTATTGGTTTGGCCTACCTGCTAAAACCTATATCCTATAAATTTCAAAATTTTAAGTGATGCCCCTAGGGTTAAGGACTTAGGAGTGTATGGTCTGCCCTTCAACCGAGATGTTTAGGTTTCAATTCTTATAACCTTGTTCACCCCTTCATACCAAGGAAATTTACAAATCCTATCAACAAAACCAGAATCTTCTAGCAATACTAGAATTGACATAGCTTTAATAAATAAAATATTCTGAAGATCAGAACATGCTACTTGATATGAGGAATGAGGATAATATCTAACTTGTTCAAAATAAGTTGAATTGGTTGGTTTAGTTCTTCTTAAACTTGATTGAATGCTAGAGATAGAGAGACAATTGCTTTAGTGAAGTTGTGAAGATTAACTGTTTACATTTTTTTGTCTCAAGTGTAGTAATTAATTTAAAATACATATGTTTCTTCCTTCTAGATTAATTCAGCGATTTTTCTTTGCTGAAAACAGATACGACAAGGCACATAAGAAGGGCTTAATCAATGGATATTTTTTCTGGTTGGTGATTGGTTATGGTGTTGGTAAGTAGCTATTAAATGCTCTTATTTAGGCTTCTGTTGAACTTAACTCTTAATTGGTTTTGCTTCAAACTACTTTTATTAATACGCCTGTAACTATGCTTATAAATACAATTAGCGCATTGAAACCTGAATATTCTTGTTGCCCAGCCTTCTAAAAAAATTCTAACATGCCTGTACGGCTGTTATGCTTATAAATTAACGCATTGAAACCTGAACGTTCTTGTTGCCCACCCCCCTGAAAAAGAAGGAAAAATTCTAACAGAAATGAAAATAGAAGCAACAAGAAACAAATTACGAGCTCGAAAGTGCAGCCTCTTGGGTGGCCTGTCTTACCATTGGGGTTTATGGCCTTAAGGCCCCTTCCCCCACCCCTGAAGAAAGAATGCATGGAGACTACGATTGTGGGGCCACTGTATCTTGTCAAATGGATTGTTATGCCATGAATTTCATGATTCTTGCAGTTTTTATATATTTATTTTTTGTTAAATCCTTTGCAGGGCTCATATTCACATACATAGCTTTGTCCCTGATGGAACAGGGTCAACCTGCGCTGTTGTATCTCGTACCTTGTACATTAGGTAAAAATATGTCAATAATAGTAAACTGCCTACCCTTTTATGCCTCTTGTTAAGCATATCATCCTAATGTCCATGAGTAATCTGTTGTACAGGTCCGGCAGTTATATTGGGTTTCTTCAGAGGTGAGCTGAAAGATCTTTGGAATCGTGAATCTGATTCAGAATCAGATGGACAACAATCTGCTGAAGCATGAAAGGCCAGTACTTAGCCAAAATTGTATTTCAACACTGGTCGATATATGTAAGCTACTCATGATCGATTATTGTGCATAATCTTTTTTGCTTTATTATGTTTAATTTTGGAAGGGCTACCATACAGTTGGTGTATTAATATGTTGTACAAAATGTATACTTTGCAGTATAGGACTAGAAAAAAAAAAGTACAGGGAAAAAAAACAAAACTGTTAGGCAGCGATTCAGATAGCGCAAAATTACTTCATTCTATATTTGTTCGCTCTGTTGTTCTAGGATTATGATTCAATACTGCAGCACTAGTATTGTACATTTCTGTTCCTATTACATGACTCCTTCCCCACCCCACAACCCTTCCCCCCCAAACCCCCCAACAATCATGCCAGCCATACTTGGGTCAGTTACTATACTGCACCTGAGACTAGCTAGCTGTTTATCCACCTTTGCAAAAAGAAGCACATCACTAAAATTAAACAAAACCGTTGCCACACTGCACCTGAGACTAGCTAGCAATTTACCTACCTTTGCAAAAACGACGCTCATCCTAAAATTGAATATAACAGTTACTACATGCCGCACCAGATACTAGCTAGCAATTTATCTACCTTTGCAAAATGAAATGACAAATTGACAATATTATTTACTAATATCTGGCCATCAATTGCCTTTTTCCTTTGTATGTAAAGCTTCTTGTTAGATCTACTAACGGTTTGGCATGAACATTGAAAATGTAATGGAAGCGAAACAAATAAAAGGAAGGAAAGGAATTATTTTTGTTTGGATTAACCATGGACAGGAATAGCAAATGGTGTCCAAGTTTTTGCACAATATTGTGTTTGGGGTCTAAGTTTTTTTTACGGAAATTTTCACATTTGCTACCAGCAAAAGGACCTTGCTTCACATTTACTACCGCTTTAATTTTAATATTTTAAACTGTTACCACCTAAATCAGAGTATTTTAAAAACAAAATAAAAAATAAAAAAAATAAATTAAAAAATAAAAAATAAATTAAAAATAAAAAAAAAAAAAAAACCAACCACCCAAAAAACCCTAGCCCTCCCTGTCAGCCACCTTACCCCCCCCCCCCCTCCCCCTGCCGGTGGCCAGCGCCCAAAGCTGCGGCCGGTGCCGGCAATTTGGGTCGGAATCGAACCCCTTGTAACACCCTAGAAATTCTTTTCTTTTAGAATACCTATTTTGCCCTGTTTAAAACTTTAAATAGGAACACCTAAAATATTACCGTCACCGTGAAAACGGCGAAGACAACTATCAAAGACACACAGCGGAAGATTCTCTTTTAAAATAATTTAAAACGACTCAACTTTAAAAGTCAACTCACGAAAGTAAAGTCAAACCAAAGTAAAACAAAGTCAAACCTACAACTTAGAACCATTGTAGGCCCTTAACCAAATCAATTCAACTTAAAACGTTTACGTTAGTCTCGCAATAGAAATATCATGATATAAATAAAGCAATAACATATCAGATACTCATGGAAACTAGTGTAAGAACCCGTCTAAAATAGAAGGCGAGACGTTAGCGGAAATAACGTCGAGACGGAATGTCACTCCAAGGGTTACTAAAAAACTAAACAAAATAAATAAATTACTGAAATAAAAATAATAAAGAGAAAGAAATCCCAAATGATCAAAGAAAACTTTCAATGAGGCAGAACAACCTCAAATTCGACTATCTCATAAAGAGAGGTAAAGACATCAAAAGATAGTCGATAAAACTACTAGGGGACAAACTAAACAAACTAAACACTCTGCTCTCAGCCCAGACTCAACATACGCTATTCTTCACCTGCAAATAACATTTAGGTTCCACAATCACTGGGGAGTAACTAGCAGTTCTCCCAAAACTTGTAGAAACACAAAGCTAAGCATAGTGTAAAGCATAGAGGCATACATATAAATAATACAACATATATACATTTCAAACAACCACTTCATAATATATAGACAAGATAAACATGATAAGATACATAGATAGGATTACTAGTCAAAACATGATTACAATACAAAACACAACGAACATGTATATTGAACAAAGTAAAATATATTACCACATGATTATAGAGTAAGAATAAATATCACCCAAAACATAGCAATAAACTCATAAAAACAATAATTAACACTTTTTAAAGATTCTTTAAAAATATTAAGAAAAATTCATGACTTGACTTAAGAGGAATTTCTCAAAAGTGTAATAATATTAAAATAGAGAATTTTAACTTTTCGAAAACTGATCCATAGTGAGGCATGCATATAAAATGGGATTTGTTAAACATCGCCCACAAATTACTACATAAAGCCCACAAAATTCACTTGGTTTGCCAAAATTGCCCTTGACCTAAAAAAAAAACACTCACACTCTTATCACTCACACTCTCATCACTCACACTCTCATTGCTCATCTTCTTTCAACCTCTCTAAAAAAAAAAAAAATTCAAATAACGGCAATGTCGAGGCGGCAAGGCAAGGAATTGGCGGCGGCGGCGGAGGGAAGGGTGTCCCAAGGAGGAAAGGTACATTTTGTTGAAAAAAAAAAAGAGAAAAACCGCCGTGACGGCGGTGGGGCGCCCTGGCTGGACGCCGCCACCAGTTGGCTGGCGCCTGGGCTGGACGCCACAGCCACGGTTGTGGCGTTTATTCAAGGCGCCGCAGCCGTGGTGTGGCGTCCAGCCCAGGCGCCAGCCAACTGGTGGCGGCGTCTGCAGCTGGCGCCACCACCGCTGGCTGGGCGTCCAGCCAGGGCGCCCCACCCCCCCTTTTTTTTTTTTTTTTTTAAAAAATTGTTTTTAATTTTTTTTTTTTTTGTGTAATATATTTTTGAATTGTTTTTATATTTTGTTGTTTATTTTTATTAATTTTTTCAATTTCGTTGTATTTTTTCTACGTTTATATTTTGTTTACAATTATTTGTATGTTTTTAGTTTATTTGATTTGCGATGATGATTATTTATCGTATAAATTTTTGTATGTTTATATATTTTAAAATTTTGTGTAGAATTCACTGGGTCGTCATGGTGCGGGGAAGAATATAGAGCTTCTTAGTAGAAGTTATTCAGTGGAGAGGTCGGGGCATAGACATGTCAGATCTCGTGGTATTTTGGCCTCAGCTCGTAGAGAACGGATCCACCGTCAGGATGAGGATGACGATGACGATGATGATGCTGAGGAGGGTGACCAGGAGGAGGGCGTAGATGAGGATGAGGATGTGGACGATGGCAGTGGACCGTATGATGATTACGGTCCATTCAGTCAGAGGGTTGATGACATGTACGAGACGCATATGGTGGAGGTGCGTAAGGGTAGGGGTGGTAGGTTTGTTAGTAGATCTGGCACATCATCTGCGTCCACTGTATCTGGGGCAAGCAGGAAACGGTCGAGGGCCGGTAATGATTCTTGGGTTGTTAGGAGTGAGGTGCCCGGTGGGCCTGTTGACGGGAGTGTGATTCCTAGCTTTCTAGGACACATAGCTGCCCGTATTTGGGAGGACCAGGAGAGGCCTTCAGTTACGGGGTTGTTGAAATGTCATACCCGGGAAAAGACTTGTAGCTTTTTGCGTACATGGGCTGAGGCCTGGCCGGCGGAGAGCGAGATGTTCGAGCGACTGGAGGGCACTGGGGTGAATCACGTTCCTGCCACCATGCACGATAAGATTGACAGTACGCTGATCACGGCTTTCATTGAGCGATGGCAGCCGGATACAAACTCTTTCCACCTTCCGTTCGGTGAGATGACGATCATGTTACATGACGTCGAGACCATTCTGGGGATTCGTGTTGAGGGTAAACGACTTTGTGCTGTGGCTGATGCGGATCAGGCTGATTCGCTGGCGGAGTTGTTGGCGGTGGACAGGGCTGCACTGTACACCGAGGCGCTAGGTGTTTGGGAACACGGAGGTGTGAAGATCGCATCCGTGTTGCAGCGGTGTTTGTACCCCAGTGCACGTAGGACGCCCGACGCACAGCTGAGTGCTTATGTTTTTCTACTCCTCTGATGTACCTTGTTTCCGGATAAGAGCGGCGAAAACAAGCTCAGGCCACGCGACATAGTAGTGGCGTGTGACCCCGACAGTGTAGGCCAGTTTTCCTGGGGATCGGCTACGTTGGCGTATTTGTATCGCCAACTAGGATTTGCGAGTCGGGCTGACGCGGCAGGTATCACTGGGTGTCTGACTCTATTGCAGACCTGGATATACGAGTACTTTCCTGCATTGCGACCACATCGTGACCCAGTTCCTATTGATGAGGGGATGCCGCGTGCTTGTGCGTGGAGTCCGCGCTCGGAGAAGAAGTCCGTTGACCGCCTCCGATCGATACGGTTATTGCTGGACAGGCTGTCCCCCTTAGAGGTAACGTTTATTTATAGAGTTTACATTTTATTATTTGCACATATTATATTCATGTTATTAAATTTTATATGTTGTTATTGTACAGGTGAACTGGATGCCTTTCGGCCCGAACCCTAGTGTTAGGGTACCCAGGACCATGTACACGGGACTCATTCAGTATCGTGAGATCGTCGAGGCGTACATGCCCCAGCGTTGTCTTCGCCAGCTTGGATTTGTCCAAGTTGTCCCTCCTCCCCCGGCATGCCCGATGAAGGCGGTCCGACCTGCATCGTCGAGGGACTACGTCGTGCAATGGCCGGATATCATGACCGGGACGTGGGACCAGTTTCCGATGGTGGCCCGCTTATGGACTGCGGAGTTGCAGCGGCCGCCCTCTGGGGTTACTGCCTGCCCTCCGGTCTCCCCCGGCGAGCCAGTACGGCTCCACATTTTTTACACCGAGATTATTTCAATTTTAGAAAAAGGGCATAATGGTCAAACCATATCATATTTGTGGGCTTTATATGGTAAATTGCGGGCGATGTTTAGCGTTTCACTATAAAATATGAACGCCGGTGAATCCCGTAGTCCACCACCAAAGGTTTGTCAGGGCGAACCTACAGACGATTCCGCAGCCGTCTGCGTCTGAGAATGGCCAAACTCCCAGTTTTCCTACTCGAATTCCGCAGCCTGAGTAGTTCCGGACGACAACAATTAACCTAGGAAATTACATCTTGAATTACGCAGCCCAAGATGTTGGCATGTTCCAACCATTGAATTCCGCAACCCAATGGTTGTCTTACACTCACGAATCAAATAAAACAGTAAAAAATAATTCTTCAAAATTATCCAAACACATTTAGGGATCATTAACCCTAATTTAAAATACTGCGGGTCTTTACTTCTAAGACCAAATTTCAACAAAAAATCCTTCAAAAGAGTTTAACTTCAAAATCCTACAAAGTATACAAAATCTTTTATAAATCATAACAAGGTGTCACTCTTATTGTCTGGATTTGGGTACGAAGCTAATTGTGGTAAAATTTCACAAAACACTCCGTACACAACCTTTGGCGAAGCGGTGCTAAAAACAGTGTTATTCTACTTTAAAGCACAACGACGTCGACAACTTATTAATTACATAAAATGGCGGCAACTGTAGTACTTCGTTAACCCTTCATAAACACACCCAAATCATGTCAAAAAGATGAAGTAAGACTATGACATATTAAGCAATATATTCATACAAGATAAGCCTAAATTCATGACTTTAACATGGTAAAAACAACATGAAAATGCAGCAGCCCCTAACAAGAATTTCAGCAGCATATTGCACAACAAATTCACACAAAACCAACCTTAAACTCACAATTAACCTTAGCCCATTAACATACACACTCTAAATACATAGTAGGTCAGGTTAGGCACAAGATTAGGCACAAAAATTAAGCATTTCATCACTTAAAAACTACTCGATTCACACAGTTCACAAACTGATCTGCAGCAGCACCTTTGCTTAGTTTTAGGCATATAATCACAACAAAACTTACCCAAAAACATGATGATTTAATTTGGGGATATACCTAACATGATTATATACCATATTAGGAACAAAAACAAACTAAATCAAAGGGAAATAAGGCTGAAAACATACTGCACAAGGTCAGCAATTACAACAGCAATATTGTGAGCCATAGTGTACATATCATGTTTAAAAACCACCAAAACATAACAACAATTTATGGAACCAAACCTTAATATATATACTAATTCTAGGGATGATTATCTAGCATAAAAACCAGCAATAAAACATGAATAAGATACCCTCATTTCTCATGCACAAAACAGCAAACAAACATGAAACTCTAGCACCTTGAATTACAACGAATTTCTAATCTAACCAACTCTAATTTGCACCTAGCCTTAACCTATCCAAGCCATGATTTTTCTAAAGCTTGGAATAGTGCTAGTTACCTCTTGAAGCGTGAACAAATTATAGACTAGAAAGAGGAGAGGAAAGCCACAAATTCAATCGCTAGACCCTCACACAAGGCACATTCAAGCAGCCCTCTTGGAAACCCCCGTTTATTATGATGATGGAGTGAGATTGGTGCACGAAATAGATGAAGCAAATAGCATCAAGAAACCCTCGAAAACCCCTTGCTTTGAGCCTTGAAATTACACAAAAATTTTGAGGGAAAGAAGGAGAGAAACTGAAGAGATATGAGCAGCAAAAAGGATCCTCAAACTATTCAGTTTTGCACGGAAAAGGGGGGAGGAGAAGAATTCTTGGACAGATACTTAAAGAGGAGTAAAGGGGGGGGGGGGGGGGTGTTATTACATAATTAATTAGGGAGTTTTAGATTTAACAAACTGATCAGTAATCAGCCTTAAGGCAGCCGTGAGAGGGGAGAGAAAATGGGCTTCAAATGAGCTTCATATAAACCCTAACTTAAGCTACACTTTATGAGTTTGATTGAATGATTAATTTAGGCTTAAAAACGGGATTAGGAAAGCTAATAAACAAGTCTATCTTAATCTATTTAGTCATGAAAGCTTTGAGGAAAAACCTGACCCATAGATTAATACTAGTTGACCCAAAACTAGACTAGGAAAGGAATATAACGGGAGGCAATTTAAAACGCGTTCAAAAATGATAATATAGATTGTATTATTGATATATCAAAAATAATATCAATAATAATAATGAAAATAATAATTTAAATTACAATACAGAATTATATATAAAGTTCATATGTACCGAAAAGCGATATAAAAGACGAAAAGTAAAACTAGTAATATTATTTATTTATAATGACCTAATTAATAAAAGGACATTATAATGAGTTTTATAAATAAAAGAATTAAAAAACACAATATAAACAATACCAATTTGATAAACGAGTTGACGGAATCACCCAATACAACTTTATTTATCGATATTGATACGTTAGCACGTAAAACGTTTTTAAAACTCCAAAAATCATTTTATACCTATTAGATTGATACTTTAGTCAAGGAATCACCCATGATGACCCGTATCAATCGCAATAGGTTAAATATCAAAATTATATATATAATTTAGTGACACTTACTGAATTAATGCTTAAGCTTAAGAAATCACCCTTTAAGGCTAATATCAATTCAGTCAAGTCAAATACAGTTGAAATGGTTAAAACTTAAACATAAAACCTTTTAAATAACTTTCAATCGTTTCGTTAAAACATTTTAATAAGGATTTCAAAAGCTTAGGATGACCCTTAAACCAAATAACGATTTTAATAATTAAATTAACATTTTAATTTAGAAATTGATTTTTAAATTAGAAATTAGGCTTTATAGGTTGAAACACACATAAAATAATGGTTTGAAAATACGGGGTGTTACAACTAGCATGATTCGCTCTTCACTCATGCCCATCATGAATATGTTTCATCACCTGAAAAACTTCTCTCTACTTGTTTCCACTACTCTCCATTAAAAATGGGTCATCATAGGGCCAAGGTAAAGACGAGGCCAACAAACACACAATTAGCAAAGCTAAGTACATAAGCGTATTTAACACACTAACGTGCATTTACCTATTAACACACAACTTATCTTGTTGCACCTGTTTTTCAAGCACATGACATTTAACAAAACTTCTCAACTAGACAACTACATAATTTGTTTAGCGTTGATTACGCATCGAACAGGTTTCCCAACTAACCTCCCTCAATAAATGAGGTTACTGACACGGGAGTTAACCGCGCCAGCATCAAATAACCACTCGTAAGTGGCGGAATTCCTGCGCATAATAATAATAAAAGGAATGTACAACGTCTTGTAATCCAGTAGAAGTTATGCTTAGATATAAAACCCCATAACCCCCCCCCCCATATGTTCATATCAAGGTATATACGTTCTAAGAGTTTTGGTGCGTAATATATTTCATTTTACTTTCTTTACAATTTATCAACTTGGTGATGACTCTCAAAACATAACAACATCAAACATCATGATTATTCAAACAATTAAACACTTTAATTTAATTCTTGAATAATTAGTGATCACATAATATTTAATGTTGAACCCTTTTTAAATCTACCTCGGTGTCAATGACACCTTAAACGCTTAATGCGTCAAAAATCCTATCCCTCGGTGTTAAACACACTTAAGTGCATTAAGGTATCAAAATACAATTTATTCCTCGTGTACATATACACTTACATAGCTCCTTCCTCATGCTTAAAGCATCAATAAAAATTATATGAACCATAATAAAATTCTCTTTTAATATTTCAAGCCAAATTAAACATTTAGTTTAATTAAACATGCTTTCTATCATGCCATAAATAAAAGTGTGGTTCATATACTATATTCCAAACTATAATTTTCCAACCATTAATCCATCACAAATAAATCATGCCTCATAATTCAATCACCAATAACAACCGAATCATAATCTTCATTCCAAATCTAGCATGATACTACCTGTAATCAATTAAAAACATTTAGCATGCTACTACATCAATAAAATTATGCTAAGTACGCGAACGTTCCTTGTATACGATCTTAAAATCGCCACGACTAATAGGAATCACTCACTTCAAAGTCTCCTACGATTTAAAATCATAGAAGAGTATTAAAATCCTCTCTACACAAATTTCCAGCAATATATACTATTATTAAACCCCTCATAATTTAATTAAAATAAGCTTAAATTATATTTATATCCTCATATACTTTAATCCCAATTAATGGGTATTCAAAATTACTTAAAGAAACTTGATTTTTAATGTACTACCAAAAATTCCAGCATTATATTTCTATGAAAACTTGTTATAATTAGGCCTTAAAACACTTAAATAAAAGGTTTAAACCATCCTATATCATAATCCTTCAATAATTAATAATTTATGAATATAGGGTTTTAACATTGGGGCTTTTTTTAATTAAGATTAAAATCTGAAAATTAAATTACTTGCTACTTATCATCAAACATCATAATCTAATCACAAAACTCATAATTAATAATTAGATCTAGGATTAAATTGATTTTTAAAACAAAAGAATAATTTTTTTTTCCGAAGAAGGGCCGCAAGCAGTAGCCACCACGTCACAGCTGGGCTGCTATTGCTCCCCGCCGGTGCCGCTGCGGCTGCTAGCACTTGTGCCGGTGGTTGTGGTGGAGGCCGGTGGTGCCGGCCGACCATGGTGAAAAGGGAAGGGGAAAGGAAAAAGAAAGAAAAGAAAAGAAAAATAAAGGAGAACGGAGAAAAAGTTTACCTTGGGTTTTCTCCACTCTCGGCAAAGTTTGTTTTGCCTCAAGTGTTGAATATTTATACCCCTTTTGTAGAAACCCTTCTTTCTAAACTTTCCCTTTTTAATCTTTCCTAATCCCTTTCTTAATAAAACTTTACTAAAATAAAACTTTCTTAAATTAATTCCCAACTTAATAAAATAATTAATTAAATAAACTTTCCTTTTATAAAATATTTCTTAACTTATTAAAATGAATAACTAAAATACTATAAATAAAACATTTCAATTTATTTAAATACTTCTCAAAATACTTATTTTAAATAGAATACATATAAAAATACGGAGTATTACACCCCTCCCCTTCCCCACTCAAAATCGACAACACTAACCCTAAATCCCCTGCCCGACACCACCCTAAACGCGTTTAAGGGTTTCTCTTAGGGTGGTTTTGGGTGGCAGGGAATTCCTTTATCACGGCCGAAAAAAGGAACGGGGGACGAGGAGGGGCTGGGATCGGGTTTTCGAGGGGAGAGGGGCTGGGATCGAGGGGGGTTTTTGAGGGGAGAAGGGCTGGGATTGAGGGGGTTTTTCGAGGGGAGGGGGCTGGGATCGAGGGGTTTTTTGAGGGGAGAGAGGGGGCTGAGATCGAGGCTGGGAACGCAACACCGGCGCCGATAGGGTGGGTGGTTAGATTCGCGGGCAGGGATTGGGATCAGGCGACGGTTGGCTGGACGATGAGTGGTGGTTGCGATGGTGTAGACACCTAAAAAGTCTCCCCAAAACCAAACCCGATGATGAACAACCTTTCACCGCCATTATTGGTCGGGTTGAGTATTTAATCTTGGAGTGCTTATATCCATATTTCCATTTCATAAACCAACCCCACTCCTAGCCCATTTCCCCAAACCATAACTTATTTTCCTCTTTTCGTGCCTTTAAACCCAAAATAATTCATTTTGTGTCTTTTAAAATCATTCATTTGGTGTTCTTTTTATAAAAACGTTTAGTCCAGTTTATTTTGGTCCATTATCTGGGTCCAATGATTGAATATTTGTATGGGGCTTTAAAATATCTTTCCAACGGTATATTATAAGCCCAAATCCGAGTTATAACGAATAAGTTATGGCCAAAATATTAAATTGAGCCCAAAACCGAACCTAAGCCCGCCTTACCTACGACCCAATGATCATGTGGAGGGTCCAAATTATTAAATCCCATTCCTAAACCAATTAGTAGTAATTAGAAACTTCTATAAGTTTCTAAAAGATCTTAATTATCCTTTTTGAAAAGATAAGATTAAAGAGTTTGAAATTGAATAAAACTTTTCTTTTTGAAAGTCCTAATTCTATCCGAATGGAAAGACGTTCAAAGATAGACAGATAATATTTAATTTCCTCATACTTTTTATTCAAATTTTATATGGTTAGATAGCCCTTGAAATTATCTTTCCAATGATATATTATAATAACAATTCTAGTTATCAGCTCCAGCTCCGTATCAAGGTCACGATCGATATCGTCACTAGCGTCAATATCGTCACTAGCATCAATATCGTCACTAGCATCAATATAGTCACTAGCATCAATAAGAGAACCTTTAGGCTTGTTATCCAGGAACTTATTCAGAAATACCGTAATAAAAGGAACATAGGAGTTTGTCGCTAGGTATTTGACCAAATAGGATCGTCCAGTTCCTATAGAACCTATCACTAAAATACCTCGATATGAATAAAATATCAAACTCTATCCAAAACTGACACCGTCTCACTATTTCGGACATATCTTTTATTTTAAAAAATATTTTAATATGATTCTAATTGGGTTATAAATTAGACTTCAAGAGCTTTCCAACGATATCTTATTTATCTTATTCCAATTTCTGGATCAAAAGATATGATAAAAAAAACCCGCAAAAACTGCTGCCTATCGCAAGAGTTTTATCCGATTCGAATTCTTATCTTTTTTTAATTCTTCGACCCTTCTTTTTGCTTATAAATAGAGGTAATTTCTCCCATTTTTCAATCATCAATAAGCTTGATCACAAAATAATTCTCTTCTCCCTC